CTTCATTTCCACATCTAGAATTGGAAGTTGTCTTCTCTTCCCAGACTTAAGAAGGGCCTTCTCTTCATCTCTTACATAGAATGATCTTTTTTGTTTGTTTGTTTGTTCTAATTAGTATACATGTTAGTAGAATGTATTTTGACATACATATAAAGAGTATAACTTCTCATTCTTCTGGTTGTACATGATGTAGAATTGCATTGGTCATGTAATCACATATGCCTGTAGGACAGTAATGTCTGAGTCATTCAACTCTTTTTCCTCCCTTCTTCGCTTTATTTACAGACTATACCTTCCTCTAAACTTGTAGAAGTCAGAGTACCATGTCTCATTCATTATTGTATTTTCCACAAGGGCTAACACAATGCAAATGAATACATTTGTTGAATAAATTGATGAATAAGTGAACAAGTAATAAAATACAAAAACTTACTCTATTTTAACCAAAAAATAGCAGAAAGATGTTAAAGCATTTAATAAAATCAACATATACAATCTATATAATAAAGAACTGAGTTGTATAATAATTTAAGAAGTATATGGCACATCATCTGTTTGGGAGGAAATGGTAGAAACACTACTTTTTAAAAGCAAATTTGAAAAGCCATTTCTTCCAATTATTTAGTCAAAATTAAAATCATTCTATAAACAACAAAACCGTAGAGCCAATTATACTGAATGATTTTGAAGGAAAACAATTTAGTAAGCAATTTGAGGTTAGTACTCTCCATTACAATTCGTGAATCTCTGTTAAAGAAAACTGAGATATGTGGTCATTCATTGGGAGGCCCATGCTGAGATAAGAAAGAGTGTGTATACTAGGAAGTGGTGGGAGTAGTGGGCCATGTGACTTGGTTCTCAAATAGCTGTCTAAACCTTACCATGCACTTCCAGAGAATATGACGGAGAAGCAGGCCATGTTTCATGGAAGAGATAAAAAATCTACCTCATAGGTTTGTTGTGAGGATTAAATGTATTAGAACATGCAAACCCAGTGCCTGGCCATTAAAATCACTATAGCAGGGCTGGGGGCCAGCTGTTCTCTCTATGGTACAGGAGCCCTCATGCTCTGATCCTTTCATACAGGGCTTCCAAGTTGGTGATGTTGCACAGCACAGTCTGCTTGTGGCCCGACTTCCTAAGTCTCTGTCAGTTTCTTGCCTCACATGTTAATTTGCTAGTATTCAGAACCCAGACAGTACTTGCTCTTAAGCCCTTATTGATCTTCTGGACTAAACAATGTAAAAGGCTTCAAACCAGAAACCAATGTTTTCCAACAGCGAATCATAAAACTTTGTACTTAGTCATTTTACTGGTTTAACCTAACTTTAAAAAATTTTACAGAATTATTTTATAGAGTGCTTCCTCTGTGCTAGACAATGTATTCTCCTTTCACTTTCCTTCCAATCCTGCCAGATGGGAGTGAAGGGACCAAGAAACTAAGGAATTTAGCCAAAATTATGCAGCTAATAACTGGCAAAAATTAAGATTGGAGCCAAGTGTGTCTACTCAGAATTCCCTCATGCCCTACCACTCCCCTGCCTGTGATAGAAGCAGAACATGGGTGCAGAAGGAATATAATAAACATCTCTCAAGTCTCTTGTTTACTCATAAGCAAGTAAAACTAGTACAACATTAACTAGTTGATTTCATAAAACCTCAAGGCAGTTAGCCAGACATTTATTTTTGATGACAGAGGATCAGCTTAACAGAAACAAATTACTAAAGTGTCCTAAGTATTAGTTGGAAGGAGTGTGGAGCCTAAGAAGTTAAGATAGAAAGGTAAACCTGTTTCCCAAGATTTTAGAAGCTTGATTCTTGGCTCTTTCTTTTATCTGTAATCATATAATATAGTCAAGAATAAATGACAAGCCACTCTTTTGCCTACAAAGTGGTTCCATTTCTATTAATAAAGTTTGAGTGGTAGCGGAAGGACTGAGTAATGTTCTAAGATTAAGCAACGCCTAGAGGGATAACACTGGATTCCAAACTTCCAGAAGAGGTTCCTGGGTCCTCCACCTGCTTCAACCAGAGCAGCTGTATTCTCTCAGATATAATATCAGGCTTTTTGCATAAACTTTCCTTTGAAAAAGAAGATGTAAATGAATAAAAGACCTCTTTTTCTACCATATTCATATCAAGCCAAATATTTTGTCTATGTTTGAGTCATTTGGATTTTTAGGAGTGCAAGATGCTCTTCGTTTGCTGCCACCAGAGACCTAAGCAAAAATGGAAACTTGGAAATTTATGTTTCTATATCCCCACATCTTCACCCACCAAGTACCATGGGCTGCTCTGCTCTCAGGACTTCTACACACATGTGTAAATCCTGCATTGCCCAATTTAGAGGGCCCTGTTCTTGTCACAGTCTTTATTACAATAGTGTTCCTGCTCAAGCAACAAAGTATTTTTAGGAAGAGGCCCCTGGAGCTACAGACTTCCTCTAGCTAGCCAGTGCCTCTCACAGCAGGCTTGGCCCATCTCCTCTAAAATGTGTCCTCTGAAATTCTTTCCTCCCCACTATTGAGAAGAAAGCCAACAAAACAGAATCGATCCCTTCAGGTAGGAATGACTCCTGGGAATTCCAGCTCCCAAGGGCTTTCTATCTTGAAAGAAACACTTGTGAAACCAAATTAAACTAAAAACCTAGATTAAACAGAGTTCAGTCAGGAAGCACTGCATTCTTAGTGACCCTTCTCCACTCTGGGCTGTCAGCACCCAGTTGCTACTTACCAGATAAAAGGAGAAACTCAGGTTGCATCTGGGCCCTCTTTTAAAAGATTGCCAAACCCTATCCTTCATACAGTTCTAGACTCATCCAGTTGAGTTTGTATCTGTAACAAACAAAGATGACTTACTCTGTAGAAAGACAAGAGACTGGGATCAGGATTCCCAAAGTGATATTTCTTATTTCAGTGTAAGACCTTCATAGACTCTCTCTCACCCTCCAATAGTTTATATAACTTTATTTTTCCAACTACCAGTTGGTAAGATCCTTGGGAGCAAATCCCCTCTGATTTGCACATCTTCCAGAGCACTGAAATTTGGCCACAGCAAGGAGAGGGTTACTGAAGATCACATGTCTCGTTGATGGCAGGATCAGGAATAGAACTTAAATTTCTTCATGCCATGTCCCAATTTAGTCCCAATCTATTCTACCACTGTTTCGGTTATCTATTTCTGCATAATAAGCTGTTCCAAAATGTAGTACCTAAAAACAACCCTACCCTTGTTTCTCATAGACCTGTTGGTCAGGAATTTGGACCAGGTTCTGGTAGGCCAATCATCTGTTCCATGTGATATTGACTGGGGCACTCACCTGCCTGGCTTTAGCTGGGTTGACATAAAAGGCCCAAAAAAACTTCATTCACAGTCTAGAGCCTTAGTGCTTCTCTTGTAGCCCCTTTCTCTCCAAGTAATCCCTTTTCTCTTTTGTATTCTCTTCTGAACTTCTTTACAGCATGGTAGCTATCTTCTCTAGGAAAAGCAGAAGTTAGCAGTCCTCTTAAACTTGCCCAAAATTGGCACAGTTTGACTTCTTCTGCAGTCTCTTGATCAAGCAAAGTCACGAGACCAATCCCACATTCAAGGGGGAAAGGGTGTGAAGGGAGCTTCATACCACCTCCCAATGATGGAGCCTCCACACTCAGGAAAGGAATTGATGGTTACCTTCTGCCATTAGGTACAACCATAGTTAACCAGTAGACACAGCCTTCTTTTTCTAATTCTCATAGTTCCTGATAGAACAGGGAAATTCAAGCCTATACAAAAACATTTTCTCTGTATGACCCAGCTGAAGAGTTAGGAGGGTGGTACTACCCACCCCATCCACAGTCCCCTTTGGCTGATCTGCTTCTGGTGGCATTTGTCCTTATTTAAGGACAGGAGGAGAGACTGCTGCACTTTGTAGAATATATAAAAAAAACATGGTTAGTGCTTTGTTGCATAATCCTACAGTGGACAGTTCACACAAGTTTTTTTTTGAAGCTACTGTTAGGTCTGTTTTTTGTGTCAGGCATTTCAGCGCATACTCCTGAGGGCTGATTCTTCAGGCAGCAGTTGAAAACAGTACTTTTCAGTGCTGCATATGTATATTGTTAAAATGGAATACACCTACAAGTCACCTTTTCAACTATTAATTTCCATGTACAGATCATTCTACAGATCAGATTAGTTAAAAAAAATACACTGCCATGGATTTTTTCTTCCGTTCTTATTAACAACACAAAGGATTTTTATGTGAAAGGACAAGCATCCAAGACTGGAAAATCAATTTTCTAGCCTGTTCCAGCCCTGGCAACATCCTTTCTTTGTATTCTAGCTAACTTAGCTTAGAATATCCCAAATGATGAGGATTATACTCTGTTTCTGAGAAAAACTCCCATAATCTTCTAAATTTCCTTGGGAAAATTTTTGCATGTGTTATTTTTTCTTAAAAAAAAAAAAAAAAAAGACTATTCTTTTGTTACAGTTAAACTGTCCTTTACCACTTAGATAATTACTTGCCCCAGAATACTTCTTCCTAGAAACCAACAAATAAAATGCTCTTGTGTGGTGTCAAGAGAGGAAACAAGAACAGCTATTTATGGGCTTCTGGGGCAACTTTTCAAGTGCTTTGGGAAATTTCAAATTTTTAAGATTATCATTGTCTAGAAAATTATGAGATTCATCTTATAAAATGGAAATCTTGGTTTCCCAAATGTGTGTGAGGAAAAAAATGGACTGTTTCTGTACCATCTGTGTAGGAACTGTGGTTCAATGAAATCTATGTTACCCTCTTAATGTGTGTTGCTAAATATTTATTGAAGATATTTTGTGTACTTTTTTTTACACAAGTTGTATGTGTAAACATTTGCACTTGGCACAGAACTAGAATCAATTAGGGATAGCCTAGATTTTTTTATTTTTCATTATTTCATGGATGCATTATTGTTATACATATTGATGGCCTAGATTTTTTAAAATCTCCATTTTGCTGTTTCTGATTTGGTGATGGCAGTGGTGAGTTTTCATTTGCTCTTTTATTTTGTTTTATGTTTGAAAGGAGATTGGGTCTCTTTAAAATAGTCCAGATCATTTAGAAAACCTTGGAGATTTTATTTGAATGTCTTTAAATTTCCATATCTCTACTCCTTTCATTTTAGGAAGAAGAATTAGAAGCCCAGATTTCCTTCCTTCAAGGGCAGTTGAATGACCTGGATGCCATGTGCAAATACTGTGCAAAGGTGATGGACACTCATCTTGGTGAGTGAACTGTTGGCCAAGGGAACAATGACAGTTGTAACAATAGTAGCTACTTGCATTACTATGTATTAGGTACTATATTAAGTTCTTGACATTGAATTTTTTCGTTTAATCCTTATAACAGCCCATAGTAGTACTGCTACTATCTACATTATACAGAAGCACCAAAAGTAAAGACATGTCACAAGATTAAAGTGAAATGAAGATTTTGAAATGAAATCAAAATCAATATCAAGCAATATGACTGTAGATTTCAACCCTTTTTTTTCACATCTTTAGATTTCAACTCTTAACTACTATACTGACTTTGTCTATCTCAAACCAAAGTCAAATATTGAGGTTTCAAAATCAATCAGCTGTATTGCTATGGTAGTCTGTCTGCTATAATCAATAACATCGTTTTGATGATGCCTCCTTTTTTTGTTTGTTATTTTTGTGGTACTGAGAATTGAACTTGGGGCTTCAGGCATGCCAGTTCTAGCATTGAGCTACATTCCCAGACATTATTATTTTTATCTAGAAACAGGGTATCACTAAATTATCCAGGCTGGCCTTGAATTTGCCATCCTCCTGCCTCAGCCTCCTGGGTAGGCTAGGATTTTAGGTGTGTACCTCTGAAGACTCAGCTGTTTGGTTTTTTAAAGACAGGTTTTTTGACCACCTGCCATAAGAACAATAAGACCTTTTCTTCCTTCTGTCCGCTTATACTCCAAGAAATGTCCAAGTTTTAAGTTCAGTTTATGGGTTAGTCATACATATGTCACATTAGAAAGTCTTCAGGCACTGCTCTAGCTCTCTAAATGTTCTGTGTTTTGTATTAGAAATGGTCTCTGCTGAATTGTGTTTATACTGCTTTGAAAATTCCTTGCTGCTTGCAAAAACTTTTGTCATGCCCATTATTATGATTTCTCAGTACACTGTGGGCATCCTTTTTTCTTCTCCCAGTGTAATGCATTCTCTAGTGTAATGCATCTATAGTTTGACAACAAATTAGGAAGATAAGACATGTACTCTTACGAGCAGGCCATTGTGCATTTCATTTCATGGCAGTTCCAGGTACTGTAAGAAATCAAGATGCATCCCTCCTCTGAGGAGAAACTAGATAGAATCCAGCAAGACCTTTTATAGTGGTGGGATGCTGAAATTGACCTATCTTTGCTAGGGGTGAACCCTCTGTCGTCAGACTCCATCAAGTAATCTGTAAGCCCATTAAGTCATGAGTTCATTGCAAGTGACAAAAATAGCTATCATTTCGGCGTAACCTTTTAAACCATATTTGTGTTAAGCAAGTAATAAACGTACTCTTACGGGTTTGAAAAGGCGCTGCTCTAAGTGGCTGGCTGGGCCCTATTCTACCTTCAGCCTTATTTGAGCTCTATCAACCACTCCTTCAAGGATAGAGGGCCCAAGAGGTGAAAACAGGAATAACCTAGTGGACGATTAACAGAGAAGAATCTCTCATCTCAGCAAGAAGTGATTCCTCTGTCACATGTGACTCCACTCCCTTCTGAATTGTTTATATATTGCTTAATGATCATTCTAAAAATTCATACAGAGCTACATTTATATAAGTCTCATATTCTTTAGTAGGACCACATTTTAAAATGCCTAAAAAAGAGGTAATTTTAAAGAGATAGTTTACATATAAATAATATATTTTATATCATCATTTGGGCTAAATGTAATTTTAATGTTAAAGTGTGTGTGTTTTCTGCTTTTTTGGCTGTTTGAGTGACCTTTGCTTTACTTAATTTTGGTTTTGACTGAAGTAGAAAAGCAAAGAAATGATTGGGAGAAAGATTTACTGAAACTCGAGAAAATCTTGCTGTTTGGTGTACACAGCAGCTTTTAAAGCAGCTTTACTTTAGCTCAGAATTTTCAAGCAGCTTTTGCTCTGATTTTGGTCTTTCAGCACTAAAAGAGCAGGTTCTTATTGCCTGGTGAGGGGAAACACTTTAAGAAAAGGCCATACCAGCTATAAATTTTCAATTAACCTTAAAACTAGGTTTGTTTTTGTGCATACGTTTGAATCCCTTCAAATAGCTAACAATATCTTTTCCCCCATATGAATAGCATGGTTGCATTTTTAAAGTGGCATTGTGGGGTGCTAGAAAGAATTCCTGATCTTGATACCTACATATGCATTTCAGTTTATCTGTAAATGAAGTAGTGATTTATTAAAGGATGCTTCTGTGTTGTGGGCAACTTTGATTCTAAAGAAAACTTTGATGGAAACAAAAAGATTGACTCAGGTAAACTAATTTCAACAACTGAGATGTCCATCAGTAGGGATTGAATATAACAAAGTAATTCAATCTTTATAAAGATTAAAGTACTTTTTTATCATTAACGTAAGGAGCTGTTCATGATAGATTAAGTCAAAAAAGCAGGTGGCCAAATAGAATATATTTGATATGAAAATAACTGTTAATAGCAGTTGACTAGATGAAAGGAAGCTTACAGGACGTTCCTTGGAACCTAATCTTCTGTGCTTAGGAGAAATGTAAGACGTTCATGAAAATCTTTGGACAGCTTAAGTGCATGTAACCAGCACTCAGTATTTGAAGCATGCAGGAGGCAGTAGTAAAAATGGTAGAATGGTGTCTGAGGAGAGACAACCTCATGTGGGATCAGTCAGATCTAGGGTTACTCCAGGCTCTGTCAGTTAGCTCAGCCTGCTTACAAGTATGTCCTCATACATGAAATTGAGAAAAGAATATCTGTCTTGCTAGTTTATTGCCCAAATATATTTTTAGACCATAGCACAGGACATGGCCCATAGGGGATATTCCACAGGAATCAACTCTTTCCCCCAACTGACTCTTCACAGGGAAGAACCTGAGAGTCCTTCAGCCATAGAGCTGAGTAGTGATCCATCCAAGGCCTCACAACTAGTTAGTTGAAGAGCTTGGACCAGTACTACAGTTCTCAATACCCAACTGAACATTTCCTTAGGAAATGATTTTTTTTTAAATGCTGGAATTGAGATATGTTGCTCTAATATTAGGTGTGTGAGCAGTAGCTTAATCAGAACTTAATGATGCATCTGCACTTTGTCTTGAGGACTGCTGTGCTAGGCTACCAAGTTGGCTGTGAGAACTGTCTCAGAGATATTTCTCTGGATCCTTTGCTAATATTAATTAATTTTCTCTTAAGTTGTTCATCTCAAGAGAATTCCTTATCCTTTGTTTTTATCAGACATGCAATAAATATCTTAAAATGTCAAGTACTATTCAAGGCTGTTTTTGTAACTGATAGCAGAACAAATATAAAGAAAAGCCTCTCAGAAAAATTACATGATGGCATTTGTTCAAATGGCCTTCTGGCTGTTGGGGCAATACAGTTGACAGGTTAGTGGTATTTCCTCTTGGTTCTGGAACCCAAAACTGAAAGAGTTATTTGTTTTGTCAAAACTCTAATAAAATTATTTCTATATAATTGAAATAATCCAAAGATTAGAGACAGGAATTAAAAATATGAGTTTTACTAAATCTAAACTTTTCTTGTCAACTTCAGAATACTTTTTTTAATGTGTTCATTTTTCCGTTGCCATAGTTACTCCCCTTCTTGTCATCCTGACAGTTGAGTTGAAAGCCATTGACAGTATTAACCTCTGCACTGAGCTCACGCTATTTTTAGATTTGCTGAACTTCACACATAATTGCACGTGGGTGAGCAGCCTACATTAGTCTGATCCATGAGCAGCTGGGCCCAGCTACCAACTGTTTACAGTGAATATATAAGCAGCTCACCCTGCTGGGCTCCAAAGCCCACACCACCCCCTTCCCTGCTCCTGCTCCTGCTCTACATAGAGGTGTTTCCATTCAGTTGTTTGGTATTTAGACATTGGTTTCCATCAGCTTCTTTTTTCATTGTTGGTCCATACATACAATAGAAGGATTAAATGCAGTGATTTAATTAAAGGAAATTAAATTTCCCGTGCTTTCCTTGGGAGTACTGCAGCTCAGAGGACATTAGAACATCCTAGAAGCCATATCAGTTGCTCTTTATTTCACAGATGAGGAAACTAAGGCCAGGGAAAGATGACTGACCCATCTAGCTAGCAGGAAGAGTCCAACCCAAGCCCACTGATGCTTCTGCTGAGGCCACACTTGAATCAGTAATTGGATTTCAGATCCTCTCCTATTTTATTACACACATCTTTACTGATTTTGTACATGTCATAATATTGATGCAAGAATTACTAAAAGAGAGGAGGCCAGTTTTGAAAATTGGTTTATTTGCCTCTGTCAGAACTTTAAGTCTTATAGTTTTCAATGGATGTTTTTGGAAATGTTCAGTAAGGCAATTAACTAAATGACATTTGAAAAAGTGAGAAGGAAAACATGATCACCAGACAGCTCTTTGTCAATTACACTCTGATAAAAGCTTTTCATAATCATTTTAAGAATTCTAAACACTGCATTTAATTGTGGGTAGCAGAGTACTCTAGAAGAGAAAGACACACTCCTCCTGAGGATCTCATTAAACATGTTATCCTGATTCATTAGTTCTGATGTAGGGCCTGAACTTCTACATTTCTAATAGGCTCCCAGGTCACCTGATATTACTGCTCATGGTAGATGTTGAGAAGTAAGAAACCAGAGAACTTAAAATTATTTGGGCACAGTTCAGTTAACATATTCATAACTTTGTTAATATATTCATGACCCCACACTTTAGGCTTATATGCAACTAAACTCTGTAAGCAGAGGGCCCACTGCCTCCTCTGGCATTCCAATGCATGTAGCCTACCATTCTTGGAAAGTCATAAGTTCATTTTCAACCTCTCTGAACTTGTTCTATCCTAATTGAAGTTTTCCCCCAATAAGACATGAAAACAGTTGGTCAACAATTTCCTTGTACCAACCTAAAACCTACTTAGAAAAACTTGCCAAACTATACTCCTGCAGATAGATCCCTCCCTAGGTCAGGATGCCTCCACTCAATATACTGTTTTCGAAAAATGACAGAGGCATTTTTCCACATGCTTTCCCGTA